TGTGAAAAGCGCTTTGAGTGGTCGGAAAACTAGAAAGGCGCTATACAAGTACAGGTCCATTTACCATTTACCATTTACATCTCACAGACAGCGTTCAGACAGACAGATTGGTAGTTTGACGTCTTGCAGAGGTGATTTTGGTGATGTTAAATAACTGGCATTTGGTGATGTTAAATAACTGGCATTTGTCTTGGTGTTCCCCAGAAAAAGGAATCAAGTTATAGACAGCTGTCTGTCTGATCAGAGGAGAAGTTAGATAATGTCTGAAATTTCATTTCTTTCTTTGATCTATACCTTGTCTTTTTTCTTTTTGTGACCTGTCAATCATTTGCTAAACTTTTACCTTTTGCCTTTTGTGACTGAGGGAGATTTAATCACAACCACCCATATTTTTTGTGTGTATGTTTGAAACATAGTTTTGATTATTATAATGGATAAAGTTTTGTTGTCACATGCCCATGGAGAAAATAAGTTTTGTGCCTACAGTGTGTTTTAATTTTTGTTCTGGCTTGGTTTAATTCTGTTATAAAGTTACAAACATTGCAACATAAAAATCCAAAGTATGTCCTGTATATTTGTAGACAAAAAATAGTAAGACAATAAAACACATGAATCTAACAGTTAAATGAATGATCAGTTTTAATGCAGTTTGAAACGCCTAGGCTGTTAAAGAAATCTAGTTTTTTAGATTTTGAGAAAAAAAGTTGATTATGTCCCATGCATTTTCCAACACACATTAAAAAATGATGGGGTGCCCCATGTACCAAGGTTGAGTCCTCGCTGCAGCACCATGGGTTCTACTCCAACCTATCGCCCTTCGCTGCGTGTCATCCCCTCTCTCCTCCCTCCGTTTCCTGTCACTATCAATCAAAAGGCAATAAAACACCCTATTTAGTTAGTTACATGTAAACTGCTTATCAGGTTGCTGAAATCCAAAGCAATCTCAAAGAAAAAACTAGGAGATGACCTCGGTATCCTCAATGGCACTGCATAGAAGTCTTATGGAGGTGTTTACTCCTGAAATATACAGAGAATATGCAAACAAGCACTCATTTTGACTAAGTCACAAATTAATATAGCAACAAAAGCCAAATCTAAGTATTGTCTGTGGTAGCCAAAACAAACCCACCAACAGAACCACTGCCAGAAACAACAAACAGCCATAATGAACTATATTCCAACAGACCAGGTGCTGCTAGCAAATCACCTTCCTTCCATCGTTTTGGATGAAGAGAGCACATAACTGTTGGCTGCCATATCTGTCTGTACGGCTTGCTGTGTCAGAACTTTGCAAAATATGTATGCGCACAGGTGCATACACACACCTACAGCAGTTACCCAGTTACACACATAAACCTGCAGTCACGTACACGCACAGGCACACACTGAGCGACTGTGTAATCGGCTTTCCCCTTTCCACCCACTAAAAAAAAAAAATCCCGAGAATCACTTGAGTGTGAAATGCTGAAAACATCCTGCATCCAAATCATATCAAGAGCACAGCAGATTCCTTCCACTGTTTGCCTGTTTTGTTTATTTGGCTCCTGCATACCGGCAGATTGAGCTCTTGTCATAATGACCATGCATTGTCAAGCCCACGGTTGTCGGGAGGGAAAGGCAGGACTAGCTGCACTCGCAAGAGCTGCCACGACTCTAAATCCACATTAACAACAGGGGCTACTGCCAAGGTAACACAATGCTCTAAGGCATCTGACGCCTTGGTGCATCCGGCCTGCTCTCTGTGTGCCCTGCTGTGGAGAGCAAGTCAAGCATCAGATGCAGAAGTTGTCTGAGATAGGTATGACATTCTGCTGGACGATGAGAGGGAGACAGAAGAGACAGAATGGAGGGAGATACGCTTCAGTGACCTTAGCATTAGCCTCTTTGTCTTCTGCCAGACAACACTGGCTGGAGAGACGTTGATAAAACAGTTTCTGGATGCTGTGGTGAGATGTCTGCTGGTAGGACGGTGCATCTCCACCTGTCACACATTGGCCGAGGCTTCTCGCTTTGATGTTCATCACACTGTTTCTTTTTTTTCCCCACACATGCTTTTACTTTAAATTCACAGTTCACCCTCTTTTCTTTATTTCAGTCTTTTCTTTCCTGTGGCCCCAAATAGCTCAATAATAACTATTTAAGTGGCACTTTTTAAATACATTTTACAAAGTGCTTTACACACACAAAAGGAATAAATGGGAATCCAAATATACTTTAAATGTGACAGCTTTGATAGTTCTCTATTGATTAAACACAAGTGAGTCACTTTCCAAACTTATATTTTCTATAAACAACAGCGGGGAAACACATGTTTTTTAACTATCCTGTGGTCTCTTTTTTAGAGCTCAGATGCCATGTGAATATTACTTTTCTTGTGACTCATTTCTATTGTTTCTAAACTTTATCCACTCAGCTCTCTGTCCTCTGAGGCTGGGGGTTGATGTAGAGATGGTTGCTGATTATTTGACATTGTGCCAAATAGTCTGGAACTGAGTAAAAGTTCAGTAAGTTAAGCCCTCAGTCTCCAGGCAGTTGAAGATATGTAAACAGGGATGATTTGACCTCCTGATCAATCAAATCTAGCCGTCTATTAAACCATACGATTATTAAAACAGCATTAGTTAAAGCCAATAGTCGACTCATCGTTAAACATAAAAGATATAAATTTGTACTGTTTTTTTACCTGCCGCCTGTTAAATGATAGCAACCAGCAAGAACACTGAGAATTTGGTTATTTCAACATAGTGTAACATCTCATTGTTCCAATGATGGAATAAATAGCTTCCAACTTCATAAAAACAAATGCTCACGGACTGAACTCACTACAAACTTCAAGCCACTCCTGTCCCGGCCTGAACCTGCTGTTAAATATAGAGTGTGTACATAGAGGAGCTCCCAATAGAACCTCTCTGTGGTGGTGGAGGAAGAGGAATTTAGGAAAATTCAGAATGACATATCGCCTCAGTGGCCATGACTCCACCTCAGTAGGCCACCTAATGTTTTAATTTAATGCAGCACTTGCAGTGAAAATAGATCTAAAACAGCATGTAATTTCTCTGTTAACTCTCTTTTTCTCTGGGCTTCTAGGTATTGCTATAGCCAGTGCGCTGGTTGACACATCACAACAGCGAGTGATGGACTTCAAAGACAGAGGCCTGGGTCTTAAGCACCGCAAACACACTGTGCACCACCAAGGGACCTGTGTATGAACTGGACGCCCTCAACGAGGAGACAACATATCCACTGTGCCCCCCCAGGGGAACTTCACTGGAGATATGCTCATTGACTTTAGAGAGAGGGACACATTGTAAACAAAGGCTGCAAAAATTGGTTCTGGATGGCCTTTGATAGCGGCTTGGAAGGAGAGGAAATGTGACCATTATCCGTCCACTGTCAGCAGGCACCCAAACTGGGAATAAATGGTACTTGTGGTCCCTTTCTTCCCTCAGAAAATCAAATGGAAAACTTCTTCATCCACATGCTCTTTTTGTCCCTTGTGTGTATATGTTGGTCCCGATGAGCCAGGAAAACACAAATTGGAAATGTGCAGACAACAAGAATGTGTTTCTACACCACAGCTTTGGTCAGAATTTTACAGACTTTCCCACTTCCATGCCACGAGCCTCTGCATCTCCAGGGCTCTAGTTGTCTGTCTGTCATGCAGACAACGTTTGTTTTACACCAATAAACCAAACTAAATGGCTCTGAGCTCCTGTGAAAGATATTGAGCTGAAATTAACTGAGCTGAAATGAAGTCCTCCGGACTTACAAACCCACTCGGCCTCAGGAGCAACGCTGGAAACAACAACATGGACCTAACTAGATCAATGAAAAACTGTAGTGGGTGGTGTTCTGTGACAAGGATTTGCTTGAGGGGAAAGTCTCCTGGGAATTTTCAAGACTACTTTTGTTGAAATGTTGAAGAACTGCATCTTGCTACGAACGTCATTGGGCGCAACTGTTGAAATGTGTTCTTTATGAAATACATGAAATTCTTTTTTTTCCTGCACCAACATTTGAAGTTTGACATTTTGATATCTGCTCAGGTCCTCTGTGACGGAAAAGGCTCCATTATCTGTAGCTTTGGGCCTTAAACACGTCTGTATATGCACTATAAGTGAAATGCTTTACCAGTACATTAGGACCCGATAATATTATGCAACTGATCATCCAAATGTAATGTTTATTCTGGGCTGCGATGTAACCTCAAGGTCAGTATCATCAAACACATACTACTGATGGTATTCATATGTCTATTCATTCATTTATTACTGTGAATATACAGTATATACACACATCTTTTCTCATGATCTCCAGTAAATGCTATGTTAATTTGTGATACAAACTTTTATGTAACATATCTCCTTATATAATATTTATTAATTATGCAAAAAATACAGTTAAACAATAATTTAGCAAGTTTTACAAATGCACTAAGGATTTCTTTTAAACAGAAAAAGTAAATGATTGATTTTACAGTCTGTGCAGTATTCCCTTTTTTGCTTGTCCCTCGGTCTTTTCATTTTCAAATATTATATTTTATGAATATCATAGCAGGTTTTGTGTGATGTCAAAAAGTTTTCCCCCTCACTAGTTGTGTTAAACCTTCATTAGATATTGTAGAGTCACTTTTTATCAACTGCACATACACAGTAGCTGTATGTCTATGCACATGTATTGTCTATATATTGAGCCTGGTTGTTTTCATTCAGGCATTTTGTTTTCATGTAATTTTGCACCAATTTGTTGTTGAGACTTCTATTAACAAAGGGCAGCTCACCACACTGTTTTTGTCCATATGAGCATAAAACTGTACATTTACAATTAAAACATTTTGATGCCTCTTCGTATGGTAATTGGATCTGATATACTGTGTTACTGTCTTACCTCTGGTGTTGTGGCATTGTATTGATCGGTGTTCTCAGGAGGTCAGATGACAGACTCAGCCAACACTATAGACTGTGTCATCCAACACTGCTGATAGAGTTACATCAGGACTGGCTCAGCATTCTGAATGGCAAACAGAGAATGAATAAACAGAGTACAACAGGGGTTAATAACACTTAATTTACATTTTAAATAAAAATTACACAACATACATTATTATTACTGTCAGTACTTGGTGCACCATACTCAGACTAAGAATGGTGCTACTGGTTCATTAAGTTGTGTTTGGTTGGTTAAAGAGTTCCATGAAATCTGGTTTGAATTTATGCTCCCCAAAAACTAACCTCTGAAGATGTTAGTGACCTAACACAACCAGCAGGCTCAAATGCTTTCTTGGATTTGGTCTATGAAAAACAAACTAACTTAAAGGTTTCACCTGCAGAGCACTAATGGCTGGATCCCTACTAACGTGCCGTGTATATATTGGGTCCATAGGGGTTAACCTTTCACCTTTCATAACTAAATCTAATGTCCACTGGATGTGGCTGTGTTCCGGTTGCACCAAGGGTCCAAACATCTCCAATGTTAAAATGGAAGTGTGTCTGAGGGAGAGTGTTTGTTCTTTAGCAGCTATATTTACAATATACACACACTTACAGCTCAACAGATGTCTTATGCCTTTATGTCTTGTATCAGCAATTCCTGGATATTAATAAAAACCTGTCCCTGTCTTCATTACTCCTCCTCACTTTTTTAGCTCTTCTATTTTCCCACTACTGAAAAATGGTTTAGTGTGTCGCTGCCTTTCTGATGCCTGACCTCCACTCCTCTACCCACTTCACGCGCCTGAGTTCCTCTCATTCTTCAGAGGTAGACCGTAATACATTAACACATTGAGGCTCCCCAGAAGGTAAACCCTTTGCATTTTGGACACCACACAATATCTCATTTTTTTTACAAGGCAGACTATAATGAAAAATTCTGAGCACATTTATCCTCAGTAGGGGATAAAACATTTAGATTTTAATTACCCCTTTCTTGTGGCAGCCTCCACAGAACAAACCATACTACCAGAAGGCAAATTGTCAGCATGTTGGTTATTCCTTCCATATATATGTGTTTTTGGTTTGTTTTTTACAGTGGACGTTTTGAGCTGTCAAACACAGCTGTGACTAGCAACATTATTAATGGCTGCACTGCATCCAGGTGTGCCTCCCAAGGCCCTGCTATTGTGCACACACAAACAAACTTATATGTATAGTGTGCATTGCAGTGGGACTTTGTTTACACGTGGTGCCACATACAGATGCAGTTTATAGATACACATTTAAAAATCAATCCAGTGTCTTTATGTCTGTATTGCTTCACTAACAAATAGCTGCTGTGTGCCTTAAAATGGACCCCGGATTATGTCCTCTGTCATGAAGCCGTGGGGGCTGGATTGCTGAGGTGATGTTAACATCTTCAAGAATGAGAGATTTTTATGCAAATGTGGGACAAGAAGAAAACACCAACATACATTCTTCCCAGGGAACAGCAGCAGAGGATCTAGTAGCTGCAGCGCTCTGCAGTCTGGCTGCATTTCAAAATCCTTCACAGTCAGTGATGTGGTAAATAAAATGCTGGGTCAACAATGCTTTCAAGTCAGTAATCATTTGCACATGTCTTCCTGTTACCTTAAAATACCATATCCTCATGTAACCAATGTCAGTCTGATACTGCTTACTAAGCTAACAATTGGTCGTATTTTTAAACTAAATGTCTGTTAATGTCGGATTTAGTAGCATCTAGCGTTGCAGACTGCAACTCCCTCCACCCTCCCCTTCCGAGCCTGAAGGAGAAACTACAGTGGCTGCGAAACTAGGGCTGCACATTTAATCAAAATATTATCAAACTTGCAACATGGCCATACTGAAAATTGCAGAGGCAATATGCAAATTGCAAAATCTGCGATGTTTTGATGAAGGTAAAATGTGTGGGGGAAAAAGAATCATAGCAAATTACTGTAGTTCCTACTGTAAAACCTGGTCTACAGATCTTGTTCTCCAGATTTAAGAAAACAGTTTGTTTGGTACAGACCTTCTAAAAATTATCAAAAAAAATGTGTGTTGCTAAAATAAAAAATTCCCAAATTAATCGCAATATCTATCAAAATAATCGCAATGTGATGTTTTTACCATAGCATGCAGCCCTATGCAAAACACGGACCACCCTATTTAAAGCCAGTGTCCCTTCTTGGATACTGTACAAACATGGCGGACTTACTGGAAGGCAACCTGCTAATGAAAACACACCTATAAATATTATCTTCCATTACTGCCAACGGATCTTCCCTAATGTTCCACACTGGACCGTTGATACAGTTTGAGAAACCCAACCAAATTAAATATACTATACCGTATTTTGACTAAGGTCACGTCTTTATTATTAAAGGCTATTTTCTCACCCTGTTTGCCTGACTGCCTGACTCCTTTCTTTGACAGTGTACTTTGGAACTTGAAAGGCCTCTCAACATTACACGAGGTCAATGCTGCTACTGTCACCACCATTAGTGACCAGGAGGAGATAAGTGCTCCTTTTTATGCTCTCAGCTCACTGTATCTCTTCTCAAGATAAAACACTGCAGTATTTAGCATTAAGTGGACTGCTGGCATCTCAGCTCTGCTCAATAGCTGCACGTCAGAGGTGACAGGAAGTGGTGCACTTTCCCTTTTATCCTGAGATGATTTTAAACCAGTTCTGAGGATGAAAGGCGGGTTTGCGTTTTTAGTGTAAAGTCAATGTAAGAAGCTCAATACCTGAACACACAAAACAATTGCAAACATACAAAGATGGAAAGAAGAAAGGGCACCTTCCTCATCAAATTAATGACATTCTGCCACTGTTGGATTCAAGTTACATGAGCATGTTTTGGTAAACCCTTAACATCTGTAACCTCTAGTAGAAAATGGAGACAAAGAGCCTTGCGCATGTCCCACATGCAAACTCCATCTCCAATGTATTATGTTTGTATGCAAAGATAAAAGAGTCATGATGAGTAGGGATGTTCCTGGCGACTCATTTTGCCGTTGACTAAGCATAAGTTAAATAATAAAAAAATAGACTAGTCGACTAGTCTAAAAGTAATGAAAGGCAGGTGGCTGCATAAAGACGACATTAACCAATGTTGTACATTGTTTAAAAATTAGGATGCCTACCACTTTTCACTTCACACTGACCCCTTCGATTTAACCTTCGCCACAATCTTTTCTCTTTAGTTCCCATTAGCATAAACATTGTGTTGTCGTTGGTGTACCTAATGCTCTGTCTGATAGGCAAGCACCATGCTGCCTTTCAGCATTAGTGGCAAAGCACCAACAACTGCAACTCTAGAGAAACGGTCACATGATCCATGTTGTCTAGCCTTGCAATCTACATCAAAACACATGCCTGGACACACTCTTCTAATTAGCAAATACATGCATGAAATGACATAAAACATAAGCTCCAAAATGTAAAAGTATCCATACATTCACTTTACACACATTTAAATTAACCTAAAGTCACATGTAGCAACATGAGTCTACAGCTCTGTCACAGTGCTGCTGTTTAGCAGGTGTATCATTCACCATCTTAGTTTAGCATGTTAGCATACTCAGCGTTAAACACAAAGTACAGCGAAGGTTGATATTTGGTCATAAACTGGTAATACCAATTCTACAGAGGAAAATGTACTCCCATAGAAACATATTAGCAACACAAATGTATGGAAAACAGCAAATAGAACACAAAAAGTGTAAAAACTGTAGGCTTCCCTTCAAGACTGGAGTCGGCATCGAATAAAGAATGAAGAACTACTCCACACACATTAACAATACTTTATTTATCTACCAGTTAAATAATATAATAATAATAAAATAAGCAGATATTGGCAAAAGGAGAACATTTCTTTAAACTGAAGTTCACCTGCTGTTTATTCCAAAGTCCTGTTGTGACAGCTTGGAAATTGTTTTTCAGAAATACATAAAGGCAAAAGAAGCTGATTATTTACCACCATCCCTACAAGTCCCTCTCTATTAACTTTTCATTTCCATGTATTTACACACAGGTGCCATTCAGCTGAGAGGAGAGTGAATGATGTTTGGCCAAAATATGAGACATAAGTACGACATTTAGACTGGAATGAATCCTCAGTTAAATTAGCAAAATCAACTCCACATCCCCTCTGACTTTTTAGATCCTTGTAACCGTATGTGTCCACACACACACACACAACACACACCACACACACACAGACACACAGACTTTGTATTAGTGCATGACTGTCAGTCCATTGTAATTCAAACAGTCTGCTTATAGTATCTTTCCGTATCTGCTTCCCCCTTCTCTCACCTCCCTCTTGTTAAGGACTCAGGGTCAGCTGAGCCACGTCCTTGTGATTGATGCTTCATCCAGACCTCAATCTTTATGCCATTACGAGCCAATTGCAGTGGGTAATTTGGGCCGCAGTTTGAGTGACTGCGTCAGCCGGGGGCGGCAACAGGATTACAAAGCACGCTGCTGTCCTCCGCCTGCCTACACACACACACATCCAACCAAACCACCAAACAGTCAGACACTCTCAATGCGGCTGTGGAGAATGTCGCTCCTGTCAGCGCTGTCCTCTACTTAATCCCAGCATGCATTGCTTTGTCATAAGAGGCCTTCTGAGTTAACAAAGAGGGCCCTTTTGTTTCCTGTCAGCACATAAAGTGCAAAGATGTGAAGGATGAAGATGAGGAGTGAAGCTGTTGACGCAGTAGGCACAGAGACAGCAGAAGGGTCAGCTGACTCGTTCGAGGTGACTTGTCGGTTCCTGCTTTGAGATTTTTCTGTTCAGTGAGGAAACATTTCATGTCACACAAATCTGTGTTTCATCTTATTCTATCTATTTATACTTCACTGTAGCTCTGTGATTGATGGATTTTCTGTGACTCACTGTTCAAAGTTTTTAAAAACCTTTTTGTGACCCTTTTGGTTTAGTTTTTCAAGAAAGAAAATCAACCTTTTCTTCATATTTCACTCAATGTAAGCATTAGAGTAAATATGAATTCCATATCAATTCAATTCAATTC